AGTCAGGGCAAGGCAGGATCACCAAGGAAGTCAGTGGTTGAGTAAATGTCCACACAAGGACAAGCGTCCATGCCTCTAACGTGGAAAAAGCTACGAGAGATCCAAGAAAACAAAGACCATGAAATGGATATCACACCCTTTGACCCAGTGATTCCACTTTTACAGATTTATCCTGCAGAAGCACTAGCACATGTGCACCAAGACTTACACACAAGGGTGTACACCATAGCACTGGATACAATTGCAAAAGGAAACTGACATCTCCAAGATGTGTCATGTAGGGTAGAAAACAGTTTATAAAGCATGATATATGCGTGTAAAGAAACAGAATAGGTAAAAGATGATAAACACAATACACACACACTTTTAGATGTTTACAATATACCTCCGAAAGGATATATTAAAATCTAGTAAAATGCGCGCAGTGGCTCACGCCTGTAATCCCAACACTTTGGGAGGCTGAGGCAAGAGGACTGCTGGAGGCCAGAAGTTCAAGACCAGCCTAGGCAACATAGTAATACCTTGTCTCTACAAAAATAAAAAAATAGCCCAGGGAAGTTGCACACACCTATTGTCCCAGCTACTTGGGAGGCTGTGGCAGGTGGAATGCCCAAGCCCAGGAGGTCGAGGTGGCAATGAACTGTGATCGTGCCACTGTACTCCAGCCAGGGTGACAGAGTGAGTCCTCAGCTCAAAAAATAAATAAATAGGCCGGGCTCGGTGGCTCAGCCTGGAATCCCAGCACTTTGGGAGGCCGAGGTGAGTGGATGGCCTGAGCCCGTAGGTTCGAGACCCACCTGGGCAACTTGGCAAGACCTCATCTCTACGATAAATCCAAATTTAGCCGGGCGTGGTAGTGCGCGCCTGTAATTCCAGCTACTTAGAAGGCTGAGGCGGAAGGGTCGCCGGAGCCCAGCAGGTCGAGGCTGCGGTGGCCGAGAGCGGCGACTGCGCTCCAGTCTGGGCGACGGAGTGAGACTCCAACTCAAAAAATAAATAAATAAAATAAATAAATAAACTGAAAAAAGGCATTGCTTTTGGGGAAGAGAACTGAGTACCAAGATCGAAGAAAAATTTATGTTTCACTGAAATCCTCAAATACTGTTTGCATTTTTTAATGATTTGCACATATTATCTTTAAATTTTCAGAATAGGAGTAAAAAAAAGAAAAGCCACTGGTTTGCCATAAAAGCAGTTTTAAACTCTGAAGACAGACTGTCTTCAAGCCACTGGGTGCTAGGTAACTAGGGAGAAGGAAAGTTACACGCAGGGCACGGACAGGAACAGAAACTGCCAGAGGGAAGTTGGTTCTGGAAGGAAGATGTGAGTTTCGTCTTGAACTCCCAGTCCTGAAGAGTGGGCCGGCAACTGAGAGAGCTAGAGGTTCACATCGGTGAAAGGCCCAATCTGTGCAACTGTTCAAAAGATCTGCAGGCGATCGGTAAAGGCACGAAAGAAATAAAGAGAAGTTAAAGACAAGATTTTACTAATAAAGCCAAGCAAGGAATTAAGAGAGCAAAAAACCAGACGACAGAGCCTTGGGGAGGAAGCCAAGGCAGCAGAAACTGATTCCCAGGAAAGCAGGCAGCAAAAGGAAGGGAAAAACTGGTGAAAAGGCTGACGAAACCTCACATGTGACAAACGAAAGATTGTATTGTTTTGTGTTAGAAGATTAAATTGTACGGTAGAAAGGGAGGTACTTGGAATCCCACAGAGAAAAGGGTAATTCTGGGAGCAAGGTTCCTAAAGGAAACTAGGCAAGCAGCTGTCAGTCCCAGGTGGGATTCATGTTGACCACAGCTTATTAACTCAGAGTGACAACCAATTCTGCTTAATTTCTTTTTTTTTTTTTTGAGCTGGAGTCTCACTCTGTCGCCCAGACTGGAGTGCAGTGGCCGCTCCCATCCACCGCAGCCTTGACCTGCTGGGCTCCGGCGATCCCTCGGCCTCAGCCTTTCAGTAGCTGGAACCACAGGCGCGCACTGCCACGCCCGGCTAGTTTTTTGATTTATTGCAAAGATGAGGTCTCGCCTGCCCAGGCGGGTCTCGAACCCACAAGCTCAGGCAATCCACTCACCTCAGTCTCCCAAAGGCGCGGAACTACAGGCTGAGCCACGGAGCCCGGCTTCTGCTTAATTTCTGAGTAATTCCTTAAATGACTTGCACTTACTCATATCTGAAGAACTTATAAGCAACAACAATACAAATAAATAGTAGATAATGAACATCAGATTTCACTGATGGCATTTCTGTATGAAGATACTGTCTTCCAAATTATTCACTCAATTTGAATGGAAAGAAAAAATGTGCCTGAATTTTTTAGGTCTTAGAATTCCATTAGTTGCACAAGTCAAAGAAATACTAAATAAGAAAACCATGATCTTTTCCAAGAGGAGTTAATATGGACAGAGAAGGCCCATGACCAATGTGGATCAAAATTTTAGAAACATTAATGAAATAAAAAGTAAAAGGTGGCAGTTTTGTGTTCTTATAATGCCTAATAAAACATGGACACCCATTGTTTGAAATTATCACTAACAAAATGAAATAACCACCATGCCAGAAAAGTTTTTCTAAGTCTAGCTTGTAAAATATCCTAATTGATTAACCTGAAATCGCTATTTGTGGCCTTTTTTTTTTTGAACACTGGAAGGACAACTTGTTAGAAATGGGAGAACTGCAGTGCAACATGGGCCCTTGGTACTAAGAATGTTTAACACCAGTGGAATGTCAAGACTGCAAATAGCTGTTTTTGTTATTCAGTTCAGTCTTTCTACCTCTAACTTTTTCTATCCTTTTGTTAAGAACTGATTACAAAATGGAGAAACTAAGCCAGGCACAGCATAATCCCAGCACTTTGGGAGGCAGAGGCAAGAGGACTGCCTGAGATTAACAGGTTCGAGACCAGCCTGGGCAACTTGGTGAAACCTCGTCTCTACAATAAACCAAAAAATTAGCCAGGCATGGTGGCACTCGCCTGGGTTCCAGCTACTTGGAATATTGAGGTGGAAGGATCACCTGAGCCCAGCAGGTCAAGGCCGCAGGAATCATGAGCATACCACTGCACTCCAGCCTGAGCAAGAGTGAGATTCCAACTCAAAAAATAAAAACAATGTGTAGTGATAAGAACAGCGGCATGAACAGAGAACCTAAGAATACAGTCTGCCAATTCCTGGGGGGAAGGCTCAGATAATCATAAAACGTAATTTTTTAAAAGAAAAATGGATTTCTTCCTCTACAAGTTTTTCATTTTCTTTTTAAATTAGAACTGTCCATGAGCTTTCCCCTCTACCTTTAGAATACTGCTTGGTACTTGAGCAGGGAAAATGTCAAAAGCCAGTGGCGAGATGGAGACTGGGAAGAAGCAAAGGTCTGTCCAGTCCAGGCTGTCCTAGAACCTCTGACTGACTATATGTCCCGGGCCATTAAAAAAAAAAAAAAAGATGAAATAAAATATGAAATGAAATAAAATAAAATGGAGAAACTAAAAAGAAAAAGAAAAGGGGAAAAAAGCTACTTGCCAAAGACATTTCCCTTGGAAACATGTTACCCTGAACTGTCCTCAGAAAGGCAATTCCCAAGACCTGAAGCATCCCTGCCCTCAATCGGGGTAGGGATGCTTACTTTCCCAGACCCGGTCCTCAAGAAACGAAGGCTTCTTTTTGCTCCAAGTCTGTGGTTGAGGGTCCTGACCCCAGAAATTACAGGAATCATCAGTATGCTAGAATCAAGGCATGCAGGGATTTTAATCTACAAAATTATTTTCTACATAGCATTTAAATGAGACATCGTTGAACATAAGGACAAAAATGAAGACCCTAACCCCTTGAGCCAGCAGGGGACACTTCAGTCATCCTTAGCAGGCAGCCTGGTTTTGTTTTGTTTTGTTTTGTTTTACTCTTTGCAGAAAGTCTGTCTACAAGCCTGAGATGTTTTTAACTCTAACATGCACAAAATCATTTTAAATTGTTCACCGGCTTCAAGTTCAATAAATTTTCCTTTTTAAGCCTACTAATGACTGAAAGACTATTGCTTCTGAAACTGAATATGCTTGATATACTTGGTGGTCATACCTCGTTCTCACACAAAGACATTAACGGCTAAGGAAAAAAGAATTAGAGCTGCAAAGTAAATAACAAAAACTTGAACCCAGCCGGGCTCGGTGGCTCAGCCTGTAATCCCGCACCTTTGGGAGGCTGAGGTGAG